AGTCCCAGTTTATGTCAATAACATCACACCCCTCCAGATGCTCTCCCGGGCCAAGCCGGCCGTGGGGGGCGCCCCACCGCAGGGTGACAAACGGAAGAAGAAAGGCAAGAAAGTCCCGCCGCTGGAGGAGCTGCTGGCCTAGAGGGATTTCACCGGCGCCATCGCCCTGCTGGAGGTAACGGGGCTCGGCCTACGGGGCTCTGCGCTCCCGCAGCTAACGAGCTAACTCCACCAGTCTCCCAGACAATGGGCGTGCGAGTGGGAGGGGCCGCAGGTCACCGGGTCCACATTCCCCCATCAGTGCATGATTGGTGCCCAGAGCACAGCCCCCAGGGCCTTGCCCAAACCCTTCTCCCAATGACTGGGGTGATGAGGCTCCTTCTGGCAGACTGTTCCCAATTGCAGCAGAGCTCCCTGTTTGGAAAAAGTTCCAGCTGTTTCAACTTAATTTGTCTTTTCTGTTCTTTCTCACACCCTAGATATGCCCCCTGCACCCGCCTGAATAATCACTTGCCCTCCTTTACGTTTACAGCTTTAAAATATGTGTACAGAGACTATGTGACTGGATAGAAACTGCCTGTCCTTGAAAATGTGATATTGACACTGCCTGACTTCCGTGTCCAGGGTTTTCAAGCCAGCAGAAATCATCCTAATATTAATTTTATAAATGAATTTGTTTCACATGAGACAATCTGACAAAATTTGACAGCTGGTGTCATTTTTGTATCTCTTTTTCTTTGAAGTTTAAACGGCATGTGGGGGAACAAGATGAGGACACTGGCCTCTGGATTGGATACTGTGCCTTTCACCTGGGGGACTACAAGAGAGCATTGGAGGTGAGATGAAGAAATCCTGCTTCCTGCTGGAGAGAATCGGGATGTTGTCCTAAAGTGGTGGCAGCAGGCAGAAGAGATTTTTGGTGGTGCAGAAGAAATGGGCCAGGCCATTTGTGTATAAATCCAGCAGCAAGAGAGCAAACTATACAGAAAGACAGTTTGGATTAGGGAAATAGGAGTTTCTACACTGAAACAGTCTATTGGTCCAGCATCCTAGTTAATCTTTGCCCCAAAGCCTAAATTGTCCTTTTCTTAATTTCATGACAGTTGTTCTAACATTCTTTTCCCTATTTGGTGTGTACACCTTCAGAAAATAATATGTGGAAAGTTATTGTTTGAGCTGGGTGGAACCTTGTTATGGGTTGGGTTAAAACCTTGTTGTGATTGATGGGTGTGACTACACTCTTCAGTTAACATAACTGTAAGGATAAATTAACCACAGCCTCCCATCTAAAAGTTAAGGGTTATGTGAACCCACCGAACGGGTTTGGACTGTATGGGCATGGCGTGTGTGTGTGTGCTAAATATTGTTTTTGGTGGGGGTTGGGGACAGAACATGTGTGTTTGTGCACACATGCACAGGACCAGAGAGACACAGAGACTACCTGGAAAAATCCAAGCAGAAGCCTATAACCAAAGTGAGACCCCGAGAGAAACTTAGAGAGAGGTTCTGCTTCTGGGATGCTGGCTAAAAAGAAGCTTGGACCTGTAAGCTAAGAAACTCCTCTTTTTGCCTTTGGTTAATCCTGTATTCGGAAAAGCAGGACTTTGATGCAATTTTGTTTATTTACAAGGAATGTACACAGGAAATATGAGATTCCATCTTCAATACTTCCAGCAGGAACATCCCCAGGGCCCTTAACTTGGAATAACCCTTCAGATCAAAAAGAGACAACACAATCATATCCCCACCTTCGTTATTTAGCCAAGTGATAGTATTACATATTTAATTCTTTTTAATCTTTTTTTCTCAGTCCCTTTAGCCCCTTAATTGATTTTGTTGCTCTTCTATGAATTTTCTGATGTCTGCCTAAAATCTCCCTTTTACCCCAAAGAGTTTTCAAGGTTATTAGAAAACATGTTTATTCAAATAATCTATAGATTATCAAGTTGCTTGCATCATATAGTGCCTATTGTACTCCTTTTGGGTAAGAAGATGCCTCTGTGGGATTCTGCATTCTTCTCCCCACTATCATCCCCATGACCCTTCTGCCTCTCCCGCTGTGAAATAGAATTTGCTGCCAGTCCTGGGTCACTGAGCCCATACTCTGTCCTCAGGTGTGCCCACACATCACTCTCTCTAGACATCTAGCAAAACCTAAGTCTGCTTCTATTGACTATCTTGCCTTGTGCCATTCTGAAACGAGCCTTCACAGCCTATTAATTTGTTTCTATATCCTCCCATTTTCACACCTCTCTTTAGCCCAGGGAAAAATACTAAAGTGAATTCATAGAACTCGGGATCACAGGAGAAAAGACATTCCTCCATAGTTTTAGAGAATTATCCTGTGGAACTATGATGACTTTTTCCCTTATAGAATTGGGTGGAGATTTTTGCTCACACATACAGGGTTAAATGGGTTTCCAGACTTGGGTTGGAGATGGAATATCCCTTCCCAGCCAGCCCTGAATATGTCTGCAAGATTTTTGAGGATATTTCATTTTACCCTTATTCTGGAACAATGAGCAGGGGACATAAGTTAGGAGGAGATGGAAATATCTCACTTGGTTAATTCTATTCTCTATAATTGCCAGGGATGCTTGGAATTGGTAGACCTCAACCTTTTCCATCACCTTAAATGTTAGAATTGGGTAGGCTAAAGGGCATGAGTTGGCAATACTGAAACTTTCTTTAGTTGCATCTGGAAATATCTGCTTGTGGAGACGGAGAGACATTCCATTAAAAAAAATTAAGTTTATCCTGTTGCATTGAATACTTTGTAAGGGCTTACATTACTTGAAGGAAATCCAGGATGGATTTGAACTTTTGAACACTCTCTTGGATGCAAAAGTAAAAGAGGACCAGACACATCAGTAAATAAAATAATCCAGTCTAAATCTATTTCACCACCAGGTGGTGATATTGATCCAGGCTTTTAAAAAATGCCAGTATTTGTATTCATCTCTTCGGCTGTTTGTAATAAAGGCATTAGGAGCTGGTCTGTGTGTATACACACATACATATACACACGGACCAGCTTTTAACTTAAAATGGAAAGTGGCTTGGAATTTTTTTTATGCACATGTAGAGAAGTCTCAATTTTTTTAACTGAGTGTCTCTCCATCCCCACAAGAAGATAGTTACTGGATGTAACTAAAGAAGATTTCAGTGATTTTTATCCTCACAGCTGCCTTTCACAAGGCACAAAGTTGCTTGATATTTAAAAAAAAGTAATCTGTCAAAGGCGCTGAGCATAATGTGCTTTGTTCTACACAAATGACTGATGAAATTAAATGGTTTACATGGCAACATTCAAGCATATGGAATGAACATAAATGTAGAAGGAAGTTAGAGGTGAGGGATTACATATCCAGTACCTTTGCATAACTGTGGCTGATTCCTTTGAAATCTTTAATTGGGATCCTGTGTCCAACGGTGGTGTTGTAATACTTAATGTGGATTTTATTTTTTCTATTATGGAATTCCTGATACTGTCCTTTTATGTCCATATTTTAGTCTGCGCTAAACCATGTCTTACCTTTATTTAAAAAGGTATATACCGAAGTCCCAATGTTTATATATTCTCAACGTAGCTGCATATGTAAACCAGCTGGAATGAGCAAAATAGATGTTCTCATATCCAGGGAGAACCTAGGAAACAGAAGCAGAACAGTGAGTAATCCTGATCGTTGTAACGCTCTCTACTCTACACCAGTAGAGCTGGTACAACAATTTGTTGCAAATAACCCATCGGATGGATTTTGCCTTTGTTCAAGAATTATCAGACTATCAAGTTTGAATCTCTTGTTATAATGGGACATACTGGCCCTTTAAAGCCAGAGAGGGGATGCCTGGGAGACCAGGAATTCTGGAGCAGATAAGGGCCCAGGAAATGATGGATGCAGGTGCTGGGAGAGAAGAAGTGGTCCGAAGGTGATAGTGTCTGGGGAAACTCAGGCTACTGTTTCTTTAAGGGCCTGGGATCAGTAGCTTTGCAGTGTAAGGTGGGACAAGGCTCCCCTCTCTTTCAGCCATCCAGAATAAGTTCTGGGAAAAAGCATGGCATACAACCTGACTCTTGCCTCACTCTGAGAGAGACATGAGCAGGGGAAGCACTGGTTGCCTGCTGACCTCTCCCAGCCCACAGGAGAAAAGATTGAAGTGGTGTGACCTTGCCTCCAAGTTGGGGAGGAAGGCTGAAGCCTTCACCCCAGACAAGGCACCTGGGAGGAAAGGATTTTTGTTATGAAGGTTTTGTTTTGTGTTCTGTTTGCTTTTTAAAAAAAAGAATTTATTGCCAACTTGGGTGAAACCAGCTAAGGGAAATTTACAGAGGTCGGCTGGGAGAAGCTGCCCTACAGTGGCAGCTGGCTACTGCTGTTAAAAATTAGTCACTGACATTTCTGGGAATAATCCTTGGTCAGTTGGCTGTTTGTTTACAAGCAATTAGTAGTAATTATTTGAAATTAGTTAGTTTTAGTTTTTATTGGACACATGTATTATGCAAAATTTGATTTCTACAAATATTCTTCAATATTAGCTGAAAATATGCTGGTTTTGTGTATGTTCCTCTTGGTCACCTGGTTAAATAGAAAGTACAGAAGGCAAAGACAAGGGACCTTGTCAGTAAAAGCAAATTTGTTAAAAAATTTAAATGTATATTGACAGAATATTCTTTTTAAGTATTCACTCAGCTCTAATATCCAGTGTTCACAGAAGCCAGTTACAATAAGTAAATATCTGACTCTTCTCCAGGTTAAGCTAAGGTTCCTGAGATGCGACATTCCCCACACCAAAAGGGAGTGTCCCAGAAGTCTTCAGATCCCAACTGGAACCCTGAGAATTCCCCATTTTGTCACCTTCATCTTTGAAGCACCATCTTGTGGCCACCATCTACACCATCTAGTGAGATTCCTTCTGAAGGCCAATAACAAAACCTCTCTTTAAAAAAAAATCAAAACCAAGACTGCCTGTTGATCTAGATGGCACTCCCTCCTCCTCCTCCTCAGAGCACTGTGACCACACCTGCAGTGTTCCAACCCCCTACCAGCACAGGGAAGGAGACCACCACTAGAAATGAAAAACCAATTTCTAACCATTTTTATATCATACCCATTGCCATAGTGCTTCTCCTGGATGATAGTGAAAATCATCAGTTGCATAGCCTGCTATAGCATCTTTAACTCCCGAAATTTACACAAAGAGTCTACCTCTAAATCAGATGCAGGTATCTCCAGTTCCTCCCCCAAGAAGGCTAAAATGCTGCCTTGACAGTCTTCCTGATCACTGCCAGACCAAGGGACAAGAGACTGGGGCTCTGGAAAATCAGATGCTGCCCTTTTCAAAGGTTGCGCACTGCAGAGTGACATTCTGAGACGTATTGTACCCCTTAAAAAATGCATAGGAATTTCTTATCTGTCTCTCCAACATGGCTTTTAGCCATCTTTGGATATTAAACAACTTCAGTTTAGAGACAAATGAAAGACCAAATACAAGAGTAACATGATACAAAAGCAACAACTAGAATGATTTGTTAGAAAACTTATCTCTGTACATTATCAGTTAAAATAAAATGGAATCAAGATTGATGTGTCTGTAGTACCCAGCATGATGCGGCCCTGACGCCTGATTGAGGCCCCTACATGCTCCTGAAATATAAATAATAATGAGGATTACATCAACATGATCGTGACACAAGTCTTCACATGGGCTAGATGTTATGAGAAATTTTGTTGCTCTCACCTTGATAAGAGCAGAGCAGTGACCCATGTCCCACTGATATCTCCCAAAGCCTGCTGGGTCACCCTTATACCAACCCACTGCTGAATACGTGAATAATGC